TTTTTTTAAACAAAATGTTTTATGAATTATTATTTATTTATTTATTTAGTGGTGTAGTGGTGTAGTGGTTAAGTGTGCGGACTCTAATCTGGGAGAACCAGGTTTGATTCCCCACTCCTCCACTTGCACCTGGCTGGATGACCTTGGGCAAGCCATAACTCTGGCACAGCTGTTCTTGAAAAAGGGCAGTTTCTGTCAAGAGTTCTCTTAGCCCCACCTACCTCACAGGGTGTCTGTTGTGGGGAGGGGGAGGGAAAGGAGTCTGTAAGCTGCTCTGAGACTCCTTCGGGTAGTGAAGGGCGGGGTATAAATCCAATCTCCTCTCCTCCTCCTCCTCCTCTTATATCCCGCCCTCCCCGGAGGCTCAGGGCGGCTAACAGGGGCATATGCCAAATAATAACAATAAAACCAGTATAAACTGCACAGAAATACAAAAACAGTTAAATAATTAATCATAACACAGTTCGGTGCTCATGTTGTTCGTTGTTGCCGTTGTTCAGTCGCACAGTCAAGTCCAACTCTTTGCGACCCTATGGACCACATCACACAAATTATCATAGTGACCCACAAAATAGTTCAAAATTCACATCAAAGTTAGGCTCAGGTGGGTAGCCATGTTGGTCTGAAGCAGCAGAACAGAATTCAGAGGCACCTTTTAGACCAACAGAAGTTTTATTCAAGGTATAAGCTTTCATATGCAAGGACACGTCTTCAGATATGGTCTGTATCTGAAAAAGTGTGCTTGCACACAAAAGCTTATACTTTGAGTAAAACTTTTGTTGGTCTTAAAGGCGCCACTGGACTTGAACTTTGCTCAGCTAAGGTAGGCATAACTTTAGGTTTCACAGGGTTGGATCCAGAGGAAAATTTCCGCTTGTACAAGATCATGTGAAACCATTTTCTGGGTACTATAATATATGCCAGGGAGCACTAGGTGCTGCACAAGATCTTGCAAAAGCAGAACTCCGCTAGGTCTGTGTTTCCACTAGCACATCGCTGGGTCCAAGTCATCATTTTTAAGGTCCAATCTGGATCTAGCATTTGCTCCATTGTTGTATCAACCCACACTGGAAGAGAAAAAGATGCGGCTCAAAACCACCGCCGTACTGACTGCAGAGTCGCCCCTGAATGGCCATAAAACAGCCATAAATCTATGCAGACAGCCACCATAAAACCAGAGATCAAACCAAGTGAAAGCGGCATGCAGTGTGGACACTGCCATAAAATCCGACAATCAATCAAAGTGAAAGTGGCATGCAGTGTAGATGGGAATTTCTGTTCCAGTGTGGGTTTGGTAAGACAGCGGAGCAAATGGAGCAAATGCTAGACGCAGATTCGGCCTGAAAGGAGCAATTGTGTTTGTGTGAATTCAGAAGGGGTTCCAGGCACATTCAGGTTCCTTTCTACCCCCCCTTTACTATGGACTTGTAAAACATGTGCACCCAGGCACAAAATGTGTCATTCCAAAAGAACACTTGTGCAGTTCAACTGTGCAAAATTAGTATTATCTTAGTGGCTATCAAAGTGAAGGATAAAAGTGTGAAAAAAGTGAGTAGTCCTGGCTCCTCTTGAATCACAGACCATAATGAAATGCACCCATTTCTGCTTCCCCTGACAAAGACACTCCCTGTAGACACCACACCTACTCTCCACATAACGTTCACCAAAATGTCAGAGATGAAGGACATCTTTCTATAATGTGGGGGCCAATGCTCCCTCTAAGCTGTGAAGTCTTGTGAGCAAAAATTTTACGTTGTGAGCTACCGTCATTAAAGCTGTGAGCGACCGATTTGGCTGCTGCATAAATTAGTTTGCTCTGGAGCCATCCTTCCTGAGCTAAGACAAAAATCTGTGAGCTGGAGGCTAAAAAACTGTGAGCTGGCTCACACTAACTCAGCTTAGAGGGAACACTGGTAGGGACCCCTTTCATGAAGAAGAAGAAAAGGAGGAGGAGGAGATTGGATTTGTACCCCACCCTTCACTACCCAAAGGAGTCTCAGAGTGGCTTACAATAACCTTTCCCTTCACCTCCCCACAACAGACACCCTGTGGGGTGGGGCTGAAAGAGCTCTTTCAAGAATTGTTTGTGAGAGAACAGCACTGAAAGAACTTGAAACTGACCTGAGGTTACACCAGCAGTTGCAGGTGGAGTGGGGAATCAACCCCGGTTCTCCCAGATTAGAGTCTGCACTCCTAACCACTACACCAAACTGGCTCTCAGCCATGTGAAGTTGTCAAATGCTTTGACAAGGGTGGTGAGGCACACACAAGGAAAACACGCAGGCATGTGGTCACAGCACACTCCGGTCTGGGAAGTTATAACCACCTATCACTGTGCCACTTTAAAAAGCCACGTTTTCACCCTTTCCCCTGTGCCATTCAGGGCTCTTTTTGTAGCAGGAACTCCTTTGCATATTAGGCAACATACCCCTAATGTAGCCAATCCTCCAAGAGCTTACAGAGCTCTTCTTACAGGGGCTACTGTAAGCTCTTGGAGGATTGGCTATATTAGGGGCGTGTTGCCTAATATGCAAAGGAGTTCCTGCTACAATTTGCTCCTGTTGCAATTCACCACCAAAAACGTACAGCTGTCCAAGTGCTTCCCTCTGGGGCAAATAGCAGCTTGAAGCAGGGGGCACGATTTTATCAAGCAAACTGTTCAAGTGCTTCTGATGTCCAAGGGCTTCTAGTGTCCTGGCCCCACTGGTGGACCTCCTGATGGCACCTGGTATTTCTGGCCACTGTGTGATACAGAGTGTTGGACTAGATGGGCCACTGGCCTGATCCAACATTGACGTCTCTTATGTTCTTATGTTCTTAGTGGATTCAATTTCTGTAAATATGACTAGATGGAACGTGCATGTTACTCACATCCTGCAGGCACTTCATTGGCTGCCCATCGGTAACCAGGGTCAATTTAAAGTGTTAGCTATCACATACAAAGCCCTTCATGGCCTTGGACCCGTGAGGCTGCCTCTACCCCTATGCTCTGCCATGGCACCTTCTCTCATCTGAGCAGGTCTTCTGCAGGTGCCAAG